AAAAGAGGATTCTCACAGGACTCAGATGTCACACATTTGGTGTAAAATGGCACTCACTATCACAAAGAGCCTGAGTACTGCAGCAGTCACTGTGGGTGCCTTGTCCACAGGCCTGTCCCTCAATGTTTCAGTTCCCCCTGGCCTGCCTCAGCTGCTGGCCACCAGAGCCCACTATGCCCATCTGCATAGTATGTCAAAAATTCTGGAGAATTCACCCCGCAGGAGCAGCCCTCAAGTAGTGACTTCTGGGATGGGGTGTATAAATATCCCAGCTCCCTCCATTAGGCAGGTTGGCCCCACCCTGGCTATGTGTGTTCCCTCCCAGCTCCAGGTGCCCACGTGGGACCAGGCTGCCTTCTCCTTCCTGTCTCACTTCCCTGCTCCCCAGCTAGTGTTTTCTGGGAACACCTCCCAAATAAACTACTATCACTAGAATCCTCATCTCAAGGTCTGCTTCTGGGAGAACCGAAATTCAGAGAGCTGGTATCTCTTTTTTTTAATTTTTTTGCAGTTTTTGCCCGGGGCCAGGTTTGAACCCACCACCTCCTGTATATGGGGCTGGTGCCCTACTCCTTTGAGCCACAGATGCCGCCCAGAGAGGTGGTATCTCTTAATAATTTTTATAAGCATCCATATGTCTCCTCAAGCAATTCCAGAAAAATGTTCTCTTTCTCACTTGTCGCTAAATCTACCTTTTCTAGAACACCAGAATTCAGGAAATATCTATTTCTGTTTTCCAGCTTCCATCTGTGGTTCAGCGACTGATGGAAGCAAAGCCACATCTCCTCTCTAAGTCCAAGACACACACAAAAGAAGCTGACAGTGCCTCAGGGAAGGTCCCCATCCTCATCCACCAAGGCAAAGACCTAGTCATCCTGGGCCCCTCCCCTGCCTCACAGCACACCATGGTTTCTTGGTTCTGCTTCTCAAACATCTCCTAATTCTCCCAGCCCTCTCCCTGGACCTGCCAATCCTTTGGTTGGCCTACCACTGTTTCTTTCCCTCATGGCTTCTCCAGTGGCCTCTTTACAGTCTCCCTATTTCTGGTCTAACAGACCAGGATCCACCCTCCACATTAGACAAGGCAGAGATGTTTTCTTTCATTTTTTTTTTTTTTAGAGACAGAATCTCACTTTGTCACCCTCGGTGGAGTGCCATGGCATAACAGCTCACAGCAACCCCCAGCTCCTGGGCAGCCTCCTAAGAAGGTGGGACTACAGGCGCCCACCACAACGCCCAGCTGTTTTTTTGTTGCAGTTTATCTGGGGTCAAGTTCGAACCTGCCACCCTCAGTATATGGGGCTGCGCCCTACTCACTGAGCCACAGGCGCTGTCCCAGAGATGTTTTCTAAAACACAAATCTGGGTTCTGGCATGGTGGCTTACACCTGTAATCCTAGCACTCTGTAAGGCCAAGGCAAGTGGATTGCCTGAGCTCACCAGTTCAAGACCAGCCCAAGCAAGAGTGAGACCCATCTCTAAAAAATAGCCAGGCATTGTGGCAGGCACCTCTAGTCCCAGCTACTTTGGAGGTTGAAGTAAGAGAATCTCTTGAGCCCAAGAGTTTGAGGTTGCT